ACTACTTGGTTTCTTGAAGAGCATAGTGTGGGTTTAGTGTCACTTGTCTGTGTTCTATGGCTGATGATTACATGGTGCTTATGATGTTTCTATTCATGGAAGCATTGGGCGAGGGAAGAGTCACTAATGTTTTCTCTAAGATTGTGAATAAGGGTTTCATATCCTTTTATTTTGTAATGATTTGATTTCATACTCATTCTGAAAAGTGTAATAATTTTTTTTGCATGCACACCTAGTGTTAAAGTGTTTCTTATGGAGATAGACAGGGAGCTAGGCACTAGGCATTCTGCCTCTTGTTGTAGAAAACCTTGCAACAATCCCAGAACCTACATGGTGGCTCAGAACCATCTGTAGATCCAGCCAGGAGTCCTCTTCTAACATAGTTGGGCCCCAGGCACACATGTGGCATACACACATATATAATAAGGAAAGCACTCAAACACCTGCCATAAAAATAAATAAACCTTTTTGGAAGTGCTTCTGGGGCTTGAGAAGTGACTGAGTGGTTAAGACTACTTGCTGTTCTTGAGGAGCGCTCTAAGAGGTCAAAGAAGCTACTCTTTGGGTTACAATAGTGTATACCAGTTTTAAGAAGTTATGTGTTCTCCTCTGGCCTCTTCATTCAGAAGACACACATATTGTACACAGATAGACATGTAGGGAAAACACTCATAGACATAAAATAAAAAAAATTAAAAATTGAAAAACTAATAAAGAAAGGAGAGGTTCTCTAAGATTGCAGATTAAATGAGTGACAGTGTCTCCTGTGTAAGCCAGTGAAAGAATCAAAGTTCATGAAAATAGAATATGAAAAAGAGGAAAAGCTCCCAAATCCATGAAGGCAGTGAAGCGTGCTCAGAATGAGAGGAAAGGAAAATTTGGAAGCAGGAAGTTGGGCTGACCTGTCTCACACAGGGCATTTGGTGGTTGGGGAGCGGTCCCTAGGAGCTGCTTTCAAAACTTTGCTTGACAAGAGCCTGGCTAGTCCCACTGCAGACAAGTCAGAGAATTCATGAGCTCAAGTCCCCTAGGTTCTGTTGAAGCAGAATCTACCTAGAGGCCTGAGGGCAGCAGGAAGAAATGCAGTTTGTTTACACTGTGTTAATTTGAGATCTATGGCTAGATCCTCTGTTAAGAGAGAATCTGTTGTTCAAAACCTGGTAATTGAAAGCTATGGAGAGAGGGAGAAATTATTCTTCCCCAGCGATTATCCAATACCAATATTCAGCAGTAAAAGTGTATACATGGCTATAAATGTATACATGTGGATCAATGTATGCATGTATATAAATGAATCTATGTGTACAAATGTATGCATGTGTACATATGCATGCATGTGTATAAATGAATACATGTATAGTAATTTATGCATGCACATAAATGCTTATATTGTAAAAATGCATAGATGTGTATAAATGTATTCATGTATAAAAATGCATATGTGTATATAAATGTATGCATGAGTATAAATGCATGCAGTTTTATAAATGCATACATATGTATAAATATATGCATGTATAGCATGCTATAGTCTATGCATGCTTATAAAAGAACACATGTGTATAAATGCATGTATGTGTATAAATGAATACTTGTGTATGAATTATGAATTTCTATAAATGCATACATGTGTACAAAATAATAAATGTGTACAAATATATACATGTGTATAAATATACACGTATAGAAGTATAAGCATGTGTTTAAATGCATACAGGTATATAAATGCATACATGTGAATATAATTGCATACTTGTGGGGGAAGATTCAAGATGGTGGAGACAAGCAGACACAGGTAGGCCTGTGGCAGCGGCCCGCGGAGGTAGCAGGGCCCAGAGGCAGCCGACAGGGACATTTAGGCCCTGCGGCAGCTGGCGGAGACATTCAGGCCCAGCGGCGGCCCACAGAGGTGGACAGGCCCTGCAACAGAGATAAGCAGACGGAGGTGGACGGGCCGGCGGCGGCGACCTACAGAGACATTAAGGCCTGGCAGCGGCCCACAGAAGTAGGCAGGCCATGCGGTGGAGACAGGCAGACGCAGGTCGGCGACCTGCAGAGGTGGACGGGCCTGGTGGCAGCAGCCGACAGGGACATACAGGCTCAGCGGCAGCCGGCAGAGACATACAGGCCCGTTGGCCGCCCGCAGAGGCAGGCAGATCCAGCGGCAGCTGACAGGGACATACAGGCCCAGCGGCGGAGACAAGTGGATGCAGGTGGGCCTGTGGCGGCGGGCCACAGGGGTGGACAGGCCCGGGGACGGTGAGTGGCGGACACAGCTTGGAACGGGGATGCCCCTAGCCCCAACACCTGGGGAAGAGGCTATCTCCGTGGGTCGGAAACAGGGCGAGTCTGGACACTCTGTCTGGGGACAACCCAGGGCCCAACTGCTGATCCTGTGAAACCCAACAACTTGGAGGTGTTGGTGAGACTACCCTGCTCAGCTGAAACCCATCTGGGAGAGGATTCAGATGCCTACAGTTTGAAGTCTGAAGAAACAAGATCAGCTGAGGAGT